AAAAAAAAATTGGAAACAAAATCTTATCAAACCTTATCAATAATGAAGATTCGTGTTTCCACAAAAAACTAACAAAATCCCGTGGTTACCAAAATCCTATCAAATTAGTTAAGAAAATCTCATTAAATTGGTTAACAATATTGGAACGCATTTTGTTGGGAAAGATTTACGTAATTTATCTATCTAATTAATATCATATTAACGTGTGGGCCCAGTGATATTAATTTAGTGTAGCATCCATTATCTCAGAATAATTATTTGTTTGATTTACAACATTAATTTGAATGGAAAAAAAAATCCGTAATTGTTGAGATATCTCAATTCAAAATCTCAGTTTTTTGGCATAAGAATTTTCAAATTTGTTACCAATAAAAATAGATTCCTATGGGATTAATATTTAAAATGTATTAAATTTTGGTATAAGAATCTCCAAATTTGTTACCATAAGAATCTTCAATTTGTTACCATAAGAAACCCATAAAAATCTCCTATGGATTGGAGTTTATCAATATTTAGTATAACATCCATTAGTCTCGGAATAATTTTTTGTTTGATTTACATCATGAATTTGAAGGGGAAAAAATCTGAAATTGTTAGGATATCTCAATTCAAAATCTCAATTTTTTTGCATAAGAATCTCAATTTGTTACCATAAGAATCCCATAGAAATCTCCTATGGGATTGGAGTTTATCAATAGTTGGTATAACATCCATTATTTTTGGAATAATTTTTTGTTTGATTTACAACATTAATTTGAATAGGAAAAAAATCCGTAATTGTTGGAATATCTCAATTCAAAATCTCAATTTTTTGGCATAACAATCTTTAAATTTGTTACCAATAAAAGTAGATTCCTATGGATTAATATTTAAAATGAATTAAATTTTGGTATAGGAATCTCCAAATTTGTTACCATAAAAATCTCCAATTTTTTTGGGATACTCAATTAAATTTGTTACCATTAAAATCTTCAAATTTGTTACCATAAAAATCTCAATTTTTTTGGTACATGTGTTTTTTTCGAAATTTCCATTAATAGTAAGTCAAACTATTTATTTTTTTAGTCAAACTTACTATAAAAGTATTTTTCCAACAACCTCTTTATATTACTATAGATATTAAAAAAAAAAAGAAACATTTTGCAGATACCCAGATGACCCGTTTGACAGAATATGGCTATCCGACTTGGTAAAAAAAGCAAATTATCTCGTCGATGTTGCTCCTGGAACTGAGAGAATATCTACCCAAATGCCCATAGACGTGAGTCGAGACGAGTGGCCGCCCGAAAAAGTCATGCAGACAGCTGTCATCGGCAGAAATGGGACTCTCACTTACCGTTTGAATCTCGACGGGTTTCCCAGTCCTGGTTGGGCCTTCACGTACTTTGCTGAGATTGAAGATTTGGGCCCAAATGACATCAGAAAGTTTCGGCTGATGCTTCCCGGTGAACCTGATGTCAGCAAAGCTGTGGTGAACATTCAAGAGAATGCGCAGGGAAAATACCGATTGTACGAGCCGGGTTACTATAACATTACCTTTCCTTTCGTTTTGTCTTTCAGATTCGCTAAGACATCAGACTCGACATTGGGCCCGATCTTGAACGCCATGGAGATAAATAAGTATTTGAAGAAGAGCGATGGCTCGGCAGATGGTGAGGAATGAGTTTTAGTTCTTTTCTTTGATATGTGAAGAAATGTGCAATTTTTTTTTTTTTTTTTGTTTCTTTGTTTGTTACGAAATTCGTTAATATAACCGGGTAATCGCTAAAATGTGGAAAAAGATGAACTTCTCAAATTTTCTAATATTTTGTATAAGCGACACCCGATTGTCGCCTTATATTTTATATTTGCATTCCCGAATTTTCTAATATTACAAATAGCCACGGCGAAAAATTGTGACTATTAGTAGTGAATTTAAGAGTCGGGGGGTTGTATTGTATTTTCTGTCACGACTCAGTATTTTTGTTGGGCCAATTGGCAGTTGCTGATTGGGGCAAAATGTAAGAAAGAATCGGACGTGGTGAGTGATCTTTTTTAATCTTCAGGCTCAGCTGGATTTTTCTAAGTAAAAAATCTCATGTCTAACGGTGTTTTTTCCAATTATTCAATTCAAAGCAAAACTCAGTGTCAATACTACTGTGAATCAGACTTATTCTCTTCCTTTATAATTCACTGTTTTGGTTTGAAAGAAGATTCTCTTAGTGGGATTCAGAATTATTAAGATGGAAGAATAAAATGCTTCTCTTCCTTATAATTCACTGTTTTGGTTTGAAAGAAGATTCTCTTGGTGGGATTCAGAATTATTAAGATGGAAGAATAAAATGCTTAATCACATTAAGTGTTCCCCAAGCATGAATATATAGTCTAACAGCTTACTTGGAGTTGCAGGACCACTTCTTGCTGATGTGGCAGCAGCTCATTCGTCAGCCGAGTGGGCACTTGAAGGCGGTGACCCTTGCCTTCCAGCTCCATGGTCATGGGTCCAGTGTAATTCAGATCCCCAACCAAAGATAACATCAATGTATATTCTTCTGCTTTTTTATATTTCTTTTATTATTTATTAATTGTCTTGAATGTAATGAAAAAAAAGGTGTTTCAATTTCAGTAAACTGTCAGGGAAGAATTTGAGTGGATCAATTCCAGCAGATTTCACAAAGCTGAGTGGTCTAGTTGAGTTGTAAGTTTGTCGATAACCGAACATTTGTTAATTGGTTCTGTGTCTTTTTTACTTGGGTGACTATAATTAGATAAAATGTGTTGTAATTTTTAATTGATGAAAGATATATAATTTGCAGGTGGCTTGATAATAACTCGCTGAGTGGTCCGATTCCAGATTTTTCTGGATGCCCCAACTTGCGAACAATGTGAGAATTAATCAAGAATTTATTTATTAGTTTCTACTTTCTACACTTGGTATTTTTTTTTACAGAAACTGATGACTTTGTTCTCTTTGTCAGACATATAGAGAATAATCAGTTAACCGGTGGACTGCCTTCTTCATTGGGAGATCTGTCAAATCTGAGAGAATTGTAAGTTTGAAGGGCTAAATACTAAAAAAAAATTATCTTTTTGGTTTTTACCAGAACTGTATAATAAGCTGCAAACTTGTTGTGTTTTGGGATTTGGTAGTGTTATTTTTCTGCTAATCATCACAGACTTATAATGATTAATTTTGCAGGTATGTTCAAAACAATGAGTTATCAGGAAATGTGCCATCTGCTCTTCTTAACAGAGATATAAGTTTGAAGTGAGTATTCAACTATTCGTAGTTAAGTATTTTCAAGACTTTAAGATGGCAATTAATTTTCTTTAATTAATAGATCGTGGAGATATTAGTCTCGTTAAATTATTAAAGTATTATATTAACCACACGTATATTTTAGCTACACTGGGAATCCTGGTGTCCACAACAATGGCAATGGAGAAAACCGTAAAAAAATTATCATAGGAGCATCAACAGGAGCTGCTGTTCTGCTTATTGCTACTATTGCAGCCTGCATTTTTTTACCGAAAGGTAAAAAGTATCCTCCTAAGCAAGGTTAGTATTATACGCAAAACTATAAGGAATTCACTTTTCGTATTTTAACTAAACTTAGGTAGTTTGACAACTTCGATATACATTTTTTTTTTTTCGGCTATGTTTGGTAACCAAATAAGCTAGCTTATAGTTTTATTTAGTTAGCTTATAAACTCGCTGTATTAAATAAGTTTCGTTTGGTAGGACAAACTTTTTTAAAAAGCTCGAGCTTATCTGATAAGCTTATTCAGGTAGCTTTTCAAATAAGCTCGTTGAAATTTTTATATCAGCTAATTTTACCAAACACTTTTATCATATAAGCTAGCTTTTCAGCTATAAGTCATAAGCTAAGCTCGAAAATAGCTTATCAGCTAGTTTTACCAAACATCGTCTTCTTATTAGTAATAGTTGATTAATTAATTTAATTCTTATTTTTGTTTGTGGCATAGGAAAATTACAACATGGCTTGTCTACTCAAAGGCCAGTTTCTTCCCTGGGTGGCACGACGGCAACTAAAACTGCACATTACTTCTCATTATCGGAAATCGAGGCTGCTACAAGTAACTTTGAGAGGAAAATCGGGTCAGGTGGATTCGGGGTTGTATATTATGGGAAACTGAAAGACGGTAAGGAAATTGCGGTCAAGATCTTGACTAATGATTCATTCCAGAGCAAGCGAGAATTTTCAAATGAGGTAAAATACTTCAAGTCTATTAGGCTACGTTTGGTAAACCTAGCTGATAAGGTAGCTTATAGTTTTTAAGTGAATTTCGAGCTTATAGCTGATAGCTTATGACTTATAGCTGAAAACCTAGCTGAAATAAAAATTTCAATGGGCTTATTTGAAATAAAAAGCTCGTCCTACCAAACCAAGCTTATTTGAATACAAGAAGCTTATAAGCTAATCAAATAAGTTATAAACTAGTTGATATGCTTACCAAACACAGCCTTACTGTTTTCTTTAATGTGTTAACTTTTGTTTATATGTTTTGGTTTGATGTAATACCTCTTGATTGGTATTTATTTACTTATGGTGAAATTTTGAGCAAGTTTCTTTCGGAAATCGTATGAATTTGAATAATGCGTAATGTAGTCTCATTCGCTTTTGATGCCAATAAATCTTTATGCAAAAAAAAAAAAAAACAGGTCTCTCTTCTTTCGAGAATACATCATAGGAATCTTGTACAGTTTCTTGGATACTGCCAAGAAGATGGTAAAAGTATTCTCGTGTATGAGTTCATGCATAACGGGACTCTCAAGGAGCACCTTTACGGTACACTGTTTTTCTCCTTTCCTTTTGCTTTTCATTTTTCTTCCAAAATACGGAACTGTACTTAAATTTGCTCAACAAATAAACCTTATGATAGGGCCCTTAACACGTGGAAGAGGAATTAATTGGATGAAGCGCCTTGAGATTGCTGAAGATGCTGCAAAAGGTTCGTTTAGCCAAACTGAAATAAGCATTGTATTGAATACTTACCGAGTCGAATCTTCTTTATAAAAAAATAGAATAAATTACAATAAACTTAAAACTATATTGTGTTCTTCCTCTCAGGAATCGAGTATCTCCACACTGGCTGTGTACCATCAATTATCCACAGAGATTTGAAAACGAGCAATATTCTCCTCGACAAGAACATGAGAGCTAAGGTCTCAGATTTTGGCCTCTCGAAGCTAGCCGTCGATGGAGTTTCTCACGTATCAAGCATTGTTCGAGGCACTGTTGGTTATCTTGATCCCGAGTAAGAATTTGTCTCGTTTAAGTAGGATTTTATCTATTATTTTATTACTTTATTCGTGCTTTAATTTTATCACATTATTTTTTCTCCTACGTTCGTGTTAATGCAGGTATTACATCTCCCAACAGTTGACCGACAAAAGCGACGTTTATAGTTTTGGTGTTATCCTTTTGGAGCTAATTTCCGGTCAAGAAGCGATTTCTAATGAAAGCTTTGGCGTCAACTGCAGAAACATTGTCCCATGGGTAAGTTTCTTTGTAGTTCTGAAAATTATTAAAAATCTTCGTAATTCGGCTTAATCCTTAGTGTAGCATATCGGCTTGCTTGGATACAAATCAGTTTTTGGTGAATCAGAGTTAATTTCGAAAAAAAAAAAAAAATTGGTTGAGTTAGGTTTGAGTGTGATTTTGAGTTTGTATTAAAATAATATTTGAAATAAAACGATGAAAGCTGATTTGATGTAAAAGTAGTCGAGAAGTGATTGGAATTGATGAGTAGTTAAAATTATGTGAGTAAATGAATAGTGAATTAAAGTTTATGTGATGTGTGATGATGAATGATTTGTATTATTTAATTATATTGATAATATTGACGAGGTTGAGTTGAGGTAGAAAAACGATTCACCAAATTTGTATCCAAGCAAGCACTTATACAATTTTCTCCTCAACTGATAATTTTGGCGATCTTTTTTTTCAAACCGGTAGGCGAAACTGCACATCGAGAGTGGGGACTTGCAGGGAATTATAGACCCTACACTGCACGATTACGATATCCAATCTATGTGGAAAATAGCCGAGAAGGCATTGATGTGCGTGCAGCCACACGGGAACACGAGGCCCTCGATTTCCGAGGTCATCAAGGATATTCATGATGCAATCATGGTCGAGAAAGTTCGGGAGGGAAACTCGGACGAGATCTCGAGGCATTCAGTTCACTCGTCCTTGAAAATGGGGTCCATGGACTTGGGAGCAAGTGATCACTATTTGTCGATTGATGACTCGATTGCGCGGCCCTCTGCTCGATAGAATCGTGTATTTATTCATTCTAGATTTTTTTTTTTTTGGTGGACTTTTTGTACTTCATTTTTTGCTGAGATGAAGAGGAAGAAGCTTTTTGATGACTATGTAACTGTAAATTCTGTTCTTTCTTGGAGGAGCATTTGGCATTCATATAATCATATGCTTGTTTATCATTTTGTTTTTTGCTCAATGTTTGGCATTTGTTTATGAGATATGTATTTGCATTCTTTAAACCCCGTGGACCATCTTGTGTTCAACATGTAGTTTTGATTTGAAATCATTTGTATCCAATGTATTTGTTAGATATGTAATTTGTTGGATGAATGAATAATCAGTTTTAATTGGTGAATAACAATGATAAATGGGAAAAATAAAATATTGTTTTTATTCCACAACATCATAGAAGAGCTCATGGTAATATATATTGGATGACTAATTTTATATTTTACTTTATTAATTTCATGAATTAGTTTTAATTGTTTCAAAATTCTACATTGGGGATGATGCGATGGAGGATGCACTTTCACTTTGAATTTTCTTTAGGTTAAAGAATGAAGTTGTTATTTTTTAACTGAAAAAATAAATTTCTTAAAAGTGTGAACGAATATAGATTATAGCAGGATAAAATGATATATAATAAAGCCAAGAAAATAAATTAATGATAAAGTTAAGAAAATAATTATTTGATATAATTGAATTTTAGTGGGTGACAAGAGTATTAATGAAAAATTGTACGAGGATGGATAACTTGATGGATTGTTGTAATTTGAGCGACAGAAAAAAAAAAAGTCGGATGATCGGGCATAATTTTTTCTTTTATTCTGTAAATGCCCATAAATGTTTGGCTTCCCTTATCCCACATCGATTGGGAATGCGTAAATGAAGGCAGAGTGTGACTATAAATTAGTGAGCCAAGACACATGTATTCTCACGCAGCCGCGCGGTAAGCACAGAGCGAACTATTCTTTCGCCTTTTACTAAAGAATACCGTGTGCTTGCCGCTTTTAAGCGGCATACGCTCATTTTTGGAGGGGTACTTCTTCCTTTGGGATTTGTACCCTAACAATTATAGTTTAATATTATTTATTCTCCATTTTTTTATGATGTTGATATTTAGTTTTGCTACAGATCAAGAATTCAACTACATGTAATTTATTTGTTATAGCCAACTTTAAACTATGCTACATTAATATTGAGTAATTAGAATATGGCATGTAGCCAATTTTAAACTATGCTACATTAATAAAATTATTAACATTTATTAAAGTAATTAGAATATGATTTATTTATTATATATAAAAGATTTCAATTAGTCAAAACTATGGAGCTAACACTCTAACTATTGACTTTATTGTAAAACTATGATTTACTTGTTGTAAAATCACTTTATTGTAAAACTATGATTTACTTGTTTTACTTGCTGTGTATAAGAGATTTCAGAGTCGGCTTTATAGCAAAATTGTATAAAATTGTATAGTATAAATAAACATAAGACATCATATACTAATACTATAAATGTATATATATGCATTTTTTGTGACAGTAATTAAATTTTTTTTCCCTAATATTATGTCACTGATTTTGCTTCTAAAGTTCTCTTTTACTATATATTGGCTTTGGCATACACAGTGGTAAACTGTCACCTGCTTCGCATCAATGTCCCAAATTTGGAATTCGCGCTAAAGCAAACATGACCGCTAGAATCTTGTCTGCTCAATGTTATCTCCAAGGAACACCGTCTCTTCCACGCGCCGGCAACTCTTCCTCAAGTTCGTCATCCCCGCGAAGCCAACTTTTGGCTCACTCGCCACTGCCCCAGCTTCTCCCACCGACCCGTTTTCCGGGCACCACCAGTTCATCACTAGTTCCGACGACCGGAGACAAACGCAGGCCCGCCTTCCGGCGAACTACGATCGGACGGCTGGAATCGCATCTCAACCGCGCGAGTTCGGGCTTCCCCAAAAGTATGAGCTTTTAATTGAAAAATGCCGGCTTTCTTGTTCTGATTTCGACTCCAAACAGGTCCACTCAGACATAATCAAGAACGGCATCGGTAATGATCTTTTTGCCGGAAACACGCTCATCAGTTCCTACTTCAGGACGGGGAATATTTCCGCCGCTCGTAAGGTGTTCAATGAAATGCCTTACAAGAATCCCGTCACGTGGTCCTGTTTGATCTCTGGGTACACTCAGAACGAAATACTTCACGATGCATTGGCTGCATTTAGTGAAATGTTCTCCTCAGGGGTTTTCCCGACCCATTACGCGCTCGGGAGTGCTTTAAGATCCTGTCAGAAAATGGGAAGCGGCGGCTTGAGACACGGGATTCAAATTCACGGTTTGATCTCAAAAACCCATCATTCTTTCGATGTGGTCATCTGCAATGTCCTTATCTCGATGTACTCGAACTGCATTGTGGGCCCCGCCGGCTCGATTCTCGCTCGTCGTCTTTTCGACACGATAGCCGATAAAAATCCTGTTTCGTATAATTCTATCATCTCGGTTTACTCTCAGCGAGGGGACGTGCGTCCCACGTTCGACCTTTTTTCCGAAATGCGGGAGAGTTTTTCGGGGTCTGATTTCGGGCCTAACGAGTATACGTACGGCAGCTTAATAACCGCTGCAAGTGAATCAGTCGATGCCGATGATGGTTGCTTTTTGCTCAAGCAGCTGCTGGCAAAAATCGAGATGTCGGGACTTATGGAGGATTTGTATGTCGGTAGTGCTCTCGTGAGTGGCTTCGGAAAGCTCGGTGAGATCGATATTGCGAAAGGCATATTTCAGAAAATGGGCACGAGAAATGTGGTGTCTTTAAATGGTTTGATGGTTGGATTAGTGAAATTTAAGCGTGCTCGTGAAGCGGTTGAGATTTTCTTGGAAGCAAAGGGATTGGTTAAAGTTAAACTCAATTCCGATAGTTATGTACTTCTCTTGAGTGCCTTTGGCGAGTTTTCGTGTTTGGAAGAAGGGAAAAGGAAAGGGAAAGAGGTGCATGGATACGTGACACGAACAGGGATAAACGATTCGAGTGTTTCGGTCGGGAACAGTTTGATTAATATGTACGCCAAATGTCGTTCTATTAAAGATGCACGTTCTGTCTTTATCTCGATGCTCGATAAAGATTCGGTCACGTGGAGTTCTATAATCTCGGGGCTCGACCAAAACGAGCGTTTCGAAGACGCGCTGTCGTGTTTTGTTGAAATGAAAAAATTCGAGCTAATTCCTTCGAATTTCACGCTGATAAGCACTTTGAGTTCATGCGCAAGTCTCGGCTGGATTTGGATGGGAGAGCAAATTCATTGCGAAGCAATTAAGTTAGGACTTGATTTAGATGTCTCGGTAAGTAATACACTTCTTACACTATATGCTGATACCAAATGCATCACGAAATGCAGGAAATTGTTTTCTTTAATGCCCGATCACGATAGCGTCTCGTGGAATTCGATTTTGCGGGCTTTTAAGGACAACGAGACTTCAATAATCGAGGCCTCAAAATATTTCTTACGCATGATGCGATCTGGATGGAGCCCAAACAACGTGACTTTTACAAACATTCTTTCTGCAGCTGCATCTCTCTGTAATCTTGAACTTACTCGTCAAATTCACTGCTTAGCTTTGAAACACCAATTTACGGAAGATAACATAGTGAAAAACTCTCTGCTCACCTGCTATGGAAAGTGTGGACAAATAAACGAGTGCGAGATTCTCTTCTCGAGAATGGTTGATAAAGATGAGGTCGCTTGGAATTCGATGATTTCGGGATATTTACACGACGAGAGGTTGGTGGAGGCCATGGATTTAGTAAAGCTCATGCTGCAAAATGGCCAAAGGTTGGATCTTTTCACTTTCGCCACTGTTTTGAGCGCTTGTGCTTCTGTGGCGACACTCGAGCACGGCATGGAAATTCACGCCTGCGCGGCTAAGGCCCGTTTGGCATCCGATGTTGTTATCGGGAGTGCACTTGTTGACATGTACGCGAAATGCGGGAGAATAGAATACGCGTCTCGATTTTTCGAGCGAATGCCTGTTAAAAACGTTTATTCGTGGAACTCGATGATATCGGGCTACGCGCGGCATGGAGATGGGGAGAAAGCACTCGAAATATTCGCGCGAATGAAAATCGAAAACCAACAAAAACCGGATCACGTGACTTTTGTTGGGGTCTTGTCGGCTTGTAGCCACATGGGATTGGTTCGTGAAGGTTACGAGCATTTCGAGTCTATGACCGAAATTTATAGCCTTACTCCGAAAATCGAACATTTTTCGTGCATGGTCGATTTACTTGGGCGGGCGGGCGAATTTAATAAATTAGAGGAGTTTATAAATAATATGCCGATCGATCCTAATGTTCTGATATGGCGAACTGTTTTGAGTGCGTGCGGCCGTTCGAGCGGCCGAACGCTTGATTTGGGCAAAAGGGCTGCTAAGATGATAATCGATTTAGAGCCACATAACGCGGTTAACTATGTGCTTGTAGCTAATATGTACGCTTCAGGGGCAAAATGGGAATATGTGGCGGAAGCGAGACGTGCGATGAAAACGGCGAAAGTTCGAAAAGAAGCCGGGTGCAGTTGGGTTTCTATGAGAGATGGGATTCACGTTTTTGTTTCGGGTGATAAGTTGCACGCTAATGTGGGTAAAATATACGAGAAGCTCGGTGAATTGTACGGTAAAATGAAGGCTAAGGGGTATACGCCTGAGGTGAAATATGCTCTGTATGATGTTGAGATGGAGAATAAGGAAGAAGTACTGAGTTACCACAGTGAAAAACTTGCGGTTGCTTTTGTGCTCACGCGCGAATGTGAATCGAAACTGCCGATTAGGATTATGAAAAACCTTCGGGTTTGTGGGGACTGTCACTTGGCGTTCAAGTATATATCGGAAATTGTAGGCAGGCGTATCGTGCTGCGTGACTCCAACAGGTTTCACCATTTTGACGGAGGTAAATGTTCGTGCAACGATTATTGGTAATTTTTTTTTATACCGATGGGTAAGTTTGATTAGTGCCCACATGGGTTTTTTACCGTTGGATAACATGTATTCATACACTTATGTGGATGTGTATTGGTCCGGTAAAAAACTAGAAAAACAATTCGTATTGTTATTGCCCCATAGGCCACATACGGTAGGATCGAATTACCTACAAATGGTTGATGGGTAAAAAAAAAAACAGAGTGAGTGCAGTCTTGTTTAGTTTTATGAACTGCTGAAAATCTCGTGGGTTTACTTTCAGAAGATTTTTACTGGGATTATACTAACATTGCAGAATATCAGTTTATATAGCTTGTTTGACGTAACCTGGGGATTGGAAATGGTGACTTGATGTAAGGTCGATCTTGGTTGATGGGGTTTGAGTTTTTTATTTTTTATGTTTTAATTATTTCATTAATCATTATTAACTTGGTTAAAGATGTGTAATTTCTTTGTTATACCGAAAAAAAAAAAGATGATGTGTAGTGATTAACCAACTTCAATAATCAAAAGTGTTCAAAGTGTACTAAAAAGATTAAAAAAAGTACCACCTTATGTGATATATGAAAGGAGAAACAAACAAATCATTTATAACTAAATCACCTTTTTTTAGCAGATACAATAACTGAATCTAACTGCATCGAATTAATTGGATTTAATAGAATTAATTGGTTTAACTAAATTAAATTGCACCGAATTACTTGGTTTGCCTCAATTTTTTAGTCGTTCTATGCATTTGAGTTCATTTTGGGCAAACTCACGCCGAATCGATTTTTTTAGAACCCAAACTTGTGAAAATATATAAATCATAAAAGAAATAAATACTAAACCTCAAACCTTCTACACTAAAATTATTGAACTTCACCAAATCACACGATTTATCCAAAGTTTTTCAATTTCGACTCGATTACTTCAAATTTTTTGTACTAAAATTACTGAACCTCATCAAATAACACGATTTAGCAAAAATTTTTCGACTCGATTATATCAAATTTTCTAACTAAGATTACTGAACTTCACCAAATCACACAATTTATTTAATTTTTTCGATTTTGACTCGATTACCTCAAACTTTCTACACTAAAATTATCGAACTTCACCAAATCACACTATTTATTTAAATTTTTTTGGTTTCGACTCAATTTTGGTAACCTTTAGTAGAAATATCTTTGAAAGGGAAATTGCAGGACCCATATATCTAACCAATCATTGTATTGTATTTGTATCCCAAACATGAGGACATAATGTAATGTAGACGTAGTACAACTTTTCTCCACCCAAAATCCATTTTCTTTGCCCCACAAAAACTATCTCAAACCTTATCACTAAAAATCTA